ATGAATGACCCATAAGTTTATATATTGTTGATTCAGAAAAGGGTTATTACTATTGTTGATTCAGGACCAAAAATACCATTGAACTATAAGTTGGCTCACTCATACCCTTGAAACTAATAACCCTCTCTTTATTTATTAATTTTTTTTAAAAAAATATTTATTATGTGTCAAATCTCTTATCGAATGAAATAAATAAACTCATCTCAACTAAATTTTTACCCATAATTTATCCAAGTCAAAAAAAATATACCTCTTCAAGACCTCAATTTATTTTTATTTTTTTAAGAAATGTAGTAGTTTTCAGTATTTATTGTAGCTGTTTATTATTATTATTATTATTATTTTATTTTTGGATTTGATTTTTCTCTATTTTCCCCAAATTCTTATTTGGATTGAAAGACATATGGCATAAAGAAAAAAAAATGGCTAAGATTTAATTAATTAAATCAAGACTCTAAACATAATATAAATACTTAATATTACATAAACAAATTAATAATGTCATAATCATAATAATATTATTTTGTCTATAATACATTATGAAATTTTCTCTCTTTTTCTGCTTTTCTTATCCCTACGGGCTACGAGTATCTTTCTTTTTTTAAAAAAAAATTGAGTTAATCTTTAATTACAATTTCTTATGGAACTCTCTTTGAAATTAGTTATCACAAAGATTATTAGTAAAAAATTTAACTTATCATTTATTTTTTATTTTAAAAAAAAAGGGAAGATAGACACTGCATATGATTTATAAATAATATAATATGTTTCTATAATTGGGGCATTACTTGTATTTTTTTATAATATATTAATTATCTAAAACAAATTTTAATACAAAACCAAAGTAAATACAACAATTATTAGATTTTCTTTAAATTATTTTTTGGGGTCTTGAAGAGGTATTGAATAAATTATACAAAAATTTAGTAAAGGTGGTTTTTATTTCATCCAATAAGAAAATGACACATAATAAATATTAAAAAAAACATAATAAAGAGATGTTTGTTAGTTTCAAGGGTATAAATGAGCCAAAAAAGTGAATGAAAGGTATATTTGGACTAAAAAATGAGTAGAAGGGTATTTTTAACCAAAAGATAGATGGAGGGTATTTTTATACCTTCGCCTAAAGTTCAGGGATAATTTTGACCCTTTTCCGTTATTGATTTATTGAACCGTTGAATCTTTGTAAAATTAAGCCTATTTAAAAGTTTGTGATAACACATAATCGCAAATATTTACTACTACCATATTTCAATTTGTTTGTCTTAATTTCATTTTTAGTTTGTTTGGAAACTTTTTTTTCCAACTTTTCACATGGTATGTCCACAAGATTAAAGGCCTTTGGATTTTTGATACATGTCTTCAGTTTAAGATCACAATAATCAAATTATTTACTTTCTTAAACTACATATAGAGTCAGACAAACAAATTGAAACAGAGGAAATACTTATACAAAGAACATAGATTTATTAATTTAACGCCTTAGAATATTTTGATATCTTATTACAACTTGAAAAAATCTACCTGATTTGAAATCATGTCCAAACAGGCTAATGTAGCAAAAAAAAAGTATGATTTGAAATTTTATTAAATATACAGACAAGACTTGAGATGTGGGGGAAATGTGTTATGAAAAATTAAGATGAACAGGGGAAGGATTACTTCTACAAACAGGACAAGTACCCTTGATCTTTAACCATTCATCAATGCATTCAGCATGAAAACAATGTTCACATTCAGGTATGCATCTCACTGTCTCTTTTGGATGGTACTCTGCCAAACATATTGAACAAATTCCATGATTTGGCCCTGGAATTCTCCGACTTTCTCCTACGACAACTTTTGTGTACGATTCGATCGTCAAATCGTCTAGACCGATAATCATTTCCGGTCGTCGCACTATGGCTGTCGGAGCCGCCTCTTGGCTTTTCTTATAGCATATGTAACATGTCAAAACCAATGAACACATGAGAGCGGGTATCACTAAGGATAGTGCAACAATTCGGAAAATTTGTATAGCTTTTGTACTATCTGCAACAAAAAATAAATCATAGTAAGTTAAGGCAAAAGAATGTTACTAAACTTGATATTGTTAAATTAATACGCCATGCTTAGGCTTAAAAAAAAAAATTTAAGCCATTTCCACAAACAACTGACGTGTTCAGTCAATGATATAACCTTACCCTTTTAGCTTAAAATTAATTTTAATCAGATTCTCAATGTTCCAAATCTTTCGTTAATTCTGAATTAATTAATTTCATTAAGGTAATAGAATGATATACATCATCTTCTGCACGATCAATACATAAACACTTAAATATAAATGTCTGAAATATTCTCCCATAAAGTTTGACAATATTGGATTAATATATAAGAAGAGCTAACTTGACATTTCAAAATGAACTTTTTAATAAGTTTGGTCAATGGTTATTCACAGTTGATTCTACCAATATAACAATTAGTACAAGATTATTTGTGCATTATCCATAAGCTGTCCTTTTTCCTTTCCTAAGAATATCTTGACCCAATAAAAGTCAAGTTTTTAGCCACATAAATAGCTTTTCGTTGAATACTCTTATCTAATAGCCCTGGTAATTCTAACTAATTACTTCTAATTGTATAATCAATTACTCCCTCCGTTTCTATTTATATGTCGTCCTTACTAAAAATAGATGTTTCTTAATACTTGTCATTTCACAAAATCAATGACATTATTCTTCTTACTTTACTTATTTGTCTTGAAAGTATTCATTGCCTTTAGAGGCGGACCCACGTTGAATGGTGGGACTGCACCTACACTCGTTAACTTTGGGAAAATATGTGTATATACCCTAAGAAACTATTAGTATATATTTAATCATACATTTTGCACAACCTTAATCACTAAGTTATACCACTCACTCAAATTGTTTCAATTATGTATTATATTTAGAGCAGAAACCATATTTGACATATATACTTGTGTTTTTGTCACTGCTCAGGCTATCAAGTGACCAGTTCGACATGGTATTATCCCTTAATCGTCATTGAAAATTTTGTTGGCTTCATATCCTGAGTCTACCTCTGATTGCCAACTTAAGCTAATCAAGATTCGAGCAGAGTTGATTGACACTCTTAGCCAACGTATACTTGTGTATGAATAAAAAGATATTTACCTGTTTCAGGCCATGTTAACACGAGATCATTATTAAGCTTACTTGTGAAAACTTCGTCTTCACTATAAGTCCACGAGACAGGAAGAGACACAGTGCTTGTTACACTGCAGCCAAAGAAACTCATTTCTCCTAATGAAACAATACCGATGTAAGAAGTAGCCAAAGTTGAGATAGTAGAATTACTCATACAACCAATAACACTGTAATAAGGGTTGACTCTATCTGTCGAACAAGTAAAGAAAGTATAGTCTCGATAGTAAACTGGCTTGAAGACAGAAGAAGAAGGAAGTTGAAACTTAGTAAGCCGTTTTGGAAGGCAATCATATGGATCGTAGAGTTGAATTTGTCGTGTGAGGTAGTTGATATCGCGTACATAGAAATCCCCTGCACCTGGAAGATTTATAATTGCTTTGCCTTGATTGTTGCATTTTAAATTGAAACCAGGCTTATATGTACAGTGCTGATTTTGTGGACTTTCTAATCCAAAAGGAAATCGTATTTTAAAACTATTATCTCCACAAATGGAAACCCCGGGGCAATCATTTTTTGCATAGACAGATGAAAAGAGAAGAAAAGAGACAAAGAGGACTAGCAAATTGTCCATATGTGTCAAGAATTAATTTCGATATGGACAGGGTGATTATATTAGAAATAGCGAAGGGGCATAGAGAGTTCCATTTATTTATAACTGCAGTTGTTTCAAAAGTCAAAAGTTTGAGTTGGTGTTCATGCCAAAGATGTTATAATGAGTCAGTTCAAACAACATATACATAAAATCCAACTTGAATTATAGAGTTGAATGGAGTGTATAAGAGGACATGTTGGCGCAGGTAAACGCTACAGTTAAAAAAAAAAAGTGAATACAAAAACATAAGGACATGTATGAGCCTGAATAAAGCTGAAAGGATATAGATTACTCATAACAAGTAGTAGTAAATTCTTAAATAGTTGTGTTAGTTTATCTCTAAGTCGCTTCTGTTAAAAAATAACAAAAGTTTCACATTGGTGGTTAATGAGATGGGTGGACTCCTTATAAGCCTTGAGCAATCCTCCTCCCTTTGAGCTAGTTTTTGGGGTGTGAGTTAAGCCTAAGACCTAATTTAACATGATATTAGAGCAACGGCCCGTCTCACCTAATGTTAAAGAACAACAAAAGTCCCACATTGGTGGACTCTTTATAAGGCTTGAACAATCCTCCTACTTTTGAGCTAGCTTTTGGGGTGTGAGTTAGGCCTAAGACCTAATTTAACATTTTCCATGGGAGATTGGGAGTACAAGAAAGCACAAACCATAATTAAGGGACTTAAGCTACAGAATATGAATTTTTCCTGTGATTATGTGAATGGGATTAGTATTGTATACAAAACAAGAATGGCTTGGCAACAATATTGCATTTATTTGAATTTGTTACGTATAACTTGGTGGAGTAGCCAATTTGCAACTTGTCGTAAGTGGAGCAATTGTGTCATTTATAGAGTTATATATGGTATTTACTGATTTATTTTTTTCTAATGGTGGTCCGCAAGTTCATTTGGGGCACTTCCATCAGGTACTTGCATTCTCGCAGCAGTACAGATATCCGATAACTTTCTGCCTACCAAATTGCTCAGATGTTCTGATGGTAACAGTTTCGCCATTCTTTCCTGACTTCATTTGTTGCAAATTTATTGACTGCTACTGCATAAGGGGTTATCATAGGTTTTCGTAGCCAATCATAGAAGTCTTGTTGATGAGACAAAATATAACCGAGGTATATCTTTTTTATAACGATCATCACAAAATTAAAGAAAGGTCGTAGTAGACACTATCAAATTCCCATGAAAGAGAAGCAAATGAAATTTTTTCACAAAATTTATCTGAAAACTTCAATCTTTGGACATGGCATGTGAACAAAGTATTTGAATGAGGAGAACCAGCTAAGCTTCTTCTAAAGCACAAGGATGTTAATTTACGCCCAATAAGCATATGTACAACTTCACATTTGGATTTACAAATTTCAAAATGCAATATGTAAAACAAACTACGCGCTAAGAAGAAGCCAAGTTACTTGAGCAGGAGAAGGATTGTTTCTGCAAACAGGACAAGAACCATTAATCTTTAACCATTCATCAATGCATTCAGCATGAAAGCAATGCTCACATTCAGGTATGCACTTCACTATCTCTTTTGGATGGTACTCTGCAAGGCATATTGGACAACTCCCATGATTGGGACCTGGAACTCTCCCACTCTCTCCTAGGACTACTTTTGTGTAGGACTCGATTGTCGAGTCATCGAGGCCAGTAGCCGGTTGTGGTGCTACTGTTGTTCTGGTGGTGATGCTTTGGATTGAAGCGGAGGCACGGCTGGATCGGCTATACTCCAAACAGAAGTAACATGATACACCAATTAAACATGTGATGCCTGGAATAAGCAAGGTTATCGCAATAAATTTGAGAACTTGTTGAACCGGCCTTTTGTTACCTGCAAGTGAAAATTATGGTAATTTTGAGGCAAAAACGTAGTCATATTTTATCTTATAGATTTATTATTGTTAATATAACTTAAATTGCAAATATACCAGGCTCAGTCGTTTAACCGTGTTGAGTGATATATGAAGTTATTGGACTATATCACTAATTCATTAACTATCAGTTTATTCAATTGTTACAATCTATACGGAAGTGATACAATGACATATTTCATTTGCACGATCTCAATCAATCAGCTAGTTGCTGAATAATACAATACTACTTGAATAGAAGTCAGCTTTTTCATAAGGATTGACATTTGATTACTGTATTAAAATAAGGGGCAGCTTGGCCTTTCAAATTTGCCAAATGCACTTACCAATATTTCTGATGAATACAAAAATGTTTATTCCCAGTGGGATAAGTAATACTAGATTCATATAACATCAGAATAAGTACTATAGTTATTTCCGCATTATCCATTAAAAACCAGCTTTACTCCAAAAGCTTCCTACTAATCAAAGTCAACGAGTCCTTAACCATATTAATTGACAAGAGAGTGTTGCCGTTGCTCCGATTGTAAGCACCCCTCAATTCCAACCCGAAGGTTGTGAGTTCAAGTCACAAGGGAGAAAAAAGGTGGGAGCTCCTAGGGAGGGGTAAAAAAAACATTAATTTACATTATTTTTGAGTACTCTCACCTACCCTTGAAATCCGCCTATGTGATTGCCCAAGTATAGTTTGTCCTAAGGGTGAGTTACTAGGAGGCAGATTGTCAACCCATCCATTAAGGCATAATTGCTTGACTGATTCTACTCTTAGCTACTCAAATGGAATAACAGAAGAATAAACGAAAGGAGACTCTAATTGAAAAAATATTTACCTGTTCCAGGACTATCAAAGCATTGAATCTCTCTGATAATGGCATTCTTGAACCCACAAACACCTTGGTTTACTTCACACTCTTCGCAGTTTGGTTCATCCCATGTTAACACAAGATCGGTAATAAGGTCCGTTAAAAAATCTGATTGGTATTGGAATGCCCATGAAGCAGGAACGGATGAATTGTTGATTATGCTACAGCTATACAAACTTATCATTTGGCTCGCAACACTTGGAGAAGTAGTAGCTAAAGTTGAAGTAGTGGAATTGCTTAGACAACTGATGACATTTAACCGAGACAAAACCAAATTGGTTGAACAAGTCAAGAAAGTATAGTTCCGATAGGCAACAGCTTTGAAAGGTGAAGAAGAAGAAAAAGAAGTGCTGAAATTCATCAGACGTTTTGGGAGGCAATCAGATGGATCGTAGAGTTGTATTTCTTGGGTTCGGTAATCTATATCACGTACATAGTAATCTCCTGCACCTGGAAGACTTAGAATTGATCTACCTTGATTGCTGCATATAAGACTGAAACCAGGATAGCTACAGTTCTGAAGGTTCTGGCGCCCTTCCATTCCAAAAGGAAATCGTATGTCAAAGTGGTTATTCCCACAAATGGAATCTGGGCAATCGTATCCTGCATAAACAGTTAAGCAGAGCAGAAAAGAGAAAGAGATGAACTTCAGAATGTCCATGTATTTCAGAAAGTCAATTTGGATATGGACAAACCCCCCATCAGAAATAGTGGTTTGCCAAGGCAAAGATTCAAATCATACAGAATACTCATTAACTTATTAGCTGTTTCAAAAGTCATAACTTTGACCCGACAAAGATGTTATAAAGGCCAAGTTATACAATGTACTTATAAAGAGGATGTTAACAGCTCAACTTCCTTTAAATGCTGCTATTGGAAACTCATAGCAAGTGGATACTTAAAAAATCAATTGATTTATTATTAAGTAGTTTCTATTAGAGGACAAGAAAGCATAAGCCATAAGGAAAAGTCAGGCTGCAAGTTATGATTTTTGCCAGTGCTAGTTTGGCTAGTAAGTAATATATTACAAACAAAAATCGTCTACTAACAAAATATACATTTTTTTAGGTGGAGTACAACCCGTTTGAAACTTGTTGATAAGGGGCTGATTGTTGTATTTATGGAGTTATAGCTAATATTTGCTGAAAAAATGAACTCTGGTTTGTAGACAGTAAGATTATACTTGGCAGTTGTTGTAAGATTATCTTTGGTAGTATTTGACAAAATCACTGGAGCTGCTCTGACATTCTGATTGAAACAATTTCACCATTCTTCCCGGACTTCATGACATGGAATTTTACGTGAAGACCTGCCACCACAATATAACAGTAAGTAATGAGTGAGAGTTTGAAGTACAGTTTGTCACTCATAAAAATTGAAGAAACCAGGGTTAATATACCTTCATTCTCTTGCAAGTTTGTGTTAACTGCTACTGCATAAGAGGTTATCATAGCTTTTGGTTGCCAATCATTAGGCTTTCCTACCCATGACTTGAGATCAAGGACAGCTGAACATGCATTACAAATGACACAGCAACATAAAATTAAATCTCATATCAAGAATAAGTCATGGTCCTTGGTTCATTATCAGGATCTAAAGTAACAGTAGTTGTCTTTCCAATAATTTCACGTGACTATGAATTATCTACATTCTGAAAAGTTTGTGTGTTCTTGTACTGATTCATGAAGAACCCAAGAAGGGCCAGAATGAAGCTTCTATGTTTTGGCAGTTCAATTTTAGAAATTGATGGTGTTAAACTCGATTGCAAAGCTAACAGCAACTTATAACTATTTCAGTGAATTGAGCTGTTACCAGAAGTTGAGCGATCTTTGAGATGTTTGATATCAAATATACCAGCAGAGGCTCCATTAGCTTGCTTCTTCTCGTTGTGGGAACCTAGCAACTCATAATCCCAGCTTCCATCCTGGTATCCTTCACTTAGAAACAGTTCAATATGTCTTGCATCTAATACCTGCATTGTTCCTGCATAGAATAACACATGATTAAATTATTAGCCATCTTTATAGCACTTCGGATAGGCAGGAAAAGCAATCTGGGGAATGGACTAAACCCAAAAGGAGTAACTATGGAATAGTTTAATTTGCACAAACATAAAGTGGCAACGGTTCAATTTGCTGTCCACTGTTCAATTAGTAGAAAACCTTCTAACTGATTAAGCCTCTGAAGGTACAGTAACCTTGTCGTTCCTTTCTAAAATATGAAAAACCCAACCAGCTTACCATCACATGTGTTGAGGTCACAGACTGGGCAACGAACAAGCTGCAAATCTGGAAGAACCAAATAACAAAAGGGATTAAAAAGTAATGCTGATAAGAAATTCTTTTACACAACCACGAAATTTACCAGCAATCCAGATTCCACTCTTGACATTTCTGACCACACAGCACCCATTTGACTCCAACATCTTCTCTGTTGTCTTCTCCTTAAGGACTTTCAAGGGAGGGATCAAATTCTCTGTCAGGAGTGCATTTTGTGAGTCAAAGGAAAATGCTCCAATGCGCATCCAGTCTGATCATTCGTTCAAACAACTTAAAGGTATCAGCAACCATTGAAAGAAATTGTCAACACCTCAGTGCTGTGTGTTGATACCAAAATTCACCATATAGAGCAAAACTGGAGGGGTTATACCAATATGTTTATCCTGCTGGCGGAACTTGTAAGAATGACATCCATCTGCAACGTTTATTCGTTACAGTAGAGAACCAGACATTTTCAATGTCACTTCTGATTTAAACTGTCAAACTCATGTAAAAAGAGAAACTGCTTACTAAAGGCTGCTGCATATAAGTTGATCCATTTGAATGCTACTTTTCCAGGATCAGGAACCTGGAGGTCTCGCAAGCAAGCATGTTTCCATATGATGTCCTCCATAATGATACGATGGAACCACTTGCTAGTTGATGCAAGCATCACCAAAGATCTTCCATCCAAGAACTTAGCAATCTCTGTCCACAGGTCCTCTTCGTACCTTATGGTATTCAAATAGCCATAAATTCAGTCTCAACATTCATAACCAACTTGATAACTACCATATGATACCCAACAAAGATAATCTCAGGTATGTTCATGGTCATGCAGGTGATATTAGTTGAACAAAGAAGCTGATATTCTAGAGCTCAAAGCATTGGCTTCTGTGATATAGCAAACTGTTTGATTTTTATTCGCAGTACTACTTAGGCTAAAGTGACGTCAAAAGAAGGACAGCCATTAGCAATGCTCTTGAACTTGTATTCACAACCTTATGCTTATCCACCACCCAGGATATTTCTAAACTCATTTTTGGAAAACTAAATTAAAGCTTTGAATTCATAGCTAAAATTTGTATTTACAAAAGTTGAGAATGAGACTTTTAATACAGTTATTCACCTTCTTATAGAAAAGATGGTGTAGTATCAGTTATCAAATCTCAGATAATATTCGAACTTGAATTGAGTACTAGAAAATTTGTGGATCAAAGAGCATTCAAATGCAAATCCTCAGCCAATAAACACATTTGACAGTTGCAGCACAGCACGCATGTCAATATGCAGAGCAGCTGAATTTTAGCTAGGATATTAATGTGCTTAACTATTGAATCCATGGAACATAGAGCATTGAACTGATTGAGAAATCAGAAAGCCTTGATTTCAAATGTATCCGCAATTGTTTCTTTTCTTCTATAGATACATAAAATCGAAATATGCGGCAACACAAAGAATCTAATAATACTGATACAGTATAGTGGCCTTCTTAGATGTAGTAGCATCTACTTAGCTGACATTCAAAGATGAATTCATTCTTTGCTCAAATCCGTGGATCAGAGAGCATCGAACTGCAAAACCTCAACAGCAAATGCATTTGATGGTTGTTACTAACACGCGTGTAATAAACAGAACAGCTAAATTGTAGCTCAAATGCAATTTGTGCCGCATTTAAATTCTGGAAAATAGAGAGAGTCTAATAACACTTCTTTTAACACAGTATCGGATCGCTTCATACAGAAACAGTACATTGATCGAAGGCAGAATGTATCAGTTATGAATATTTAGCCCATATTAATAATTGAATTGATTTCTAACTCAAATTTGTAGATCAAAGAGCTTGAACTGTTCAACCAATAAACGTATTTTTACAGTATGAAATATAACACAAGTTGCAATAAGCAGAGCAGCTGAGAATTTTAGCTCAAATTCAGTACAAAGCATCTACTCAGCCATATTTTTTCAATCGGACTACTTATATCTTCTAGATACCATAAAATATGCATGAGACCGCGAGAGAATAGAACTCTATTAATACAGTATCAAATCGCCTACTTACAGAAGCAATAGATTCGACTACAGGAGTAATTTCAGCAATCAATTTTTCACTAATATTCAAATAGAAAGCGCTTCTCGCTCAAATTTATGCATCAGCGAGCATTGAACTGCGAAATGTCAATCAAATAGAATTTGGCAATTGCCGCATTACAGAGCATCAGTACAAGCATAGCAGCTGAACATTAGCTCAAAATTCAATTCGTTTCTAGTTTGAATTCATAAATTTAGTGCATTAAACTGATGCAGAAAGAACAAAACATCAATTTCAAATACTTTTGTAATCGGATTAAAATACAATTATGCAGAAAAAGAGAGAGAGAGAACCAGGAGAAGATAGAGTGAGGAGTGAGAAATTTCAATCGAGGAGATACACAGCTACAGAGCGGTCTTGTTCTCCTCATACGCTTCCCCATGGTGATCTCTAAGATTTGAAATGACTATGCGAAGTTCAAACTGAAGACGTGTTAGCTATTTATAGGCGCGCCAATGCTTGGATTCAAACTACAGAAGCTTTCATTTCGTCAGGGAAGATCCGCTGTGCCCAAGAAAGGAAGGCCCATAAAGAACGCATTTCAGCCTGTTACGTTCTGGTGCTTGCGACGCTCGGCTTGAAGCCCATACCTCGAGACTTTGTCCCTAAATGTGCCTTTATTATAGCTTTTATGAAATTATTTTTTTGGATACAGTTAGATTCAAGTCTAATTTATTTATATATTCAGCCTGATTATTATTTTGAGTTTAATATTACAAGATTCAAAAAAAAGAAAAAAAAAAATCTTAGTAAGCTCCAAACATCGTGTCAAGTCAAAATACGACAAATAAATTGAAACGATGGAGTATTGTTCATAAAAAAAGTAATGTTTTCATATAAAAAGAAAAAATAACTTTGCATTTCAAAATGTATTTTTACAAATTATATAAACAATTTTCATCTTTCAAAAAAAAAACTAGAAGAATATATTTTTAAGTAAAAAAATTTATTATTCAAAAGTTTAATACTTCCAATTTACTTTTGCCTTTAGGTCACCAATTTATTTGTATTATCAAGTGTTCAGTAAAACCTGTCAGTTGTTCATTGAATATAAAAAGAAAAAACAATATGCTTCAGATAAAAATTATTAACGATGTATTTTTTTTTTCAGTAATAAACTTTTTAAAATATGTGCTTGCTGTAAATTTCCTTTTTTGTGTTGAATTAGGAAATTTACGGAAAGCAGATATTTTTAAAAGTTTATTACTGAGTTGCGAATTAGGAAACTTTTATTAGTCCGTTAATGGAATGTACACTTTAACTATAACTAGTAATCCTAACGCGCACCAGATTGTTAAAAAAAAAAAAGTAAAAATTTAACATAAACTTTCCTAATCCAAACACAAATAGGAAAAGGAAGACCATCCTAATTAAATAAATAGTAGTAATATAATGTAAAGTTTACACAAGTAACAGCATCAATTGAAGCATGACTACAATAAGACTCTTTGGCAATGACATCAAAGTCGCAGAGAAGAAGGAGGTAAAGAGCATAATGTTATTCGGAACACGGATATTTTTCCAGTCTCCAGCATTGAACAACAATATGGCAGATTTGCCTCCAAGAAGTATGCGTTTGGCTATTGAGTCTTTCCGTGGGAGTAGACCGATTTACATGGGCTGGAAATACTTGGAGAACTCGGACATCAACGCGAACTTGAGCAGGTTCTTAATTCCAGTTGAGTGCTGCTCGAAATTACTCCACTACATGACTCGGTTGGAAAGAGAAAAGATACTAAACAAAGATGATAGAGGTATTAACGTGGGTGTAATGGATCCAAAGGGTAATTTACATGATATGAAGTTTACTGGATGGAAGAGTTTGGGGAGACTTGTGTTTAACAGAGGATGGAACAATCTTGTCAGAGATAACCAATTTCAAAAAGGAGATTTACTTGAACTCTGGCACTTCAGAATGCCTAATAATAAACCTTGTTTTGCTATAAATATCATTAGGTACTAGTACCATTTTCGTCTTTACTTTTTCTATTTTTTACCATATTTTGATGTAATTCTACTGTTAATACCCAAGTATGATCCAGTTTCTATTTTAATTTTTCGTCTTTCTTTGCCTTAAAATGTTTGTTTCTATGGCATCAAAAAGCGGTCATCAATTTATAATGACAAAACATTTTTTTATAAATATCATGTGTATTCTGATGCGATATCTAATATGGACCTTACATTTTTCTTAAATGTTTTGGATAAAGAGTAATGATTAATCTATTTTAATGGGATATTACACTTCGTATAATTTTTTATTCTCTTTTATAGAGTGAAATTTTCATTAAAACAAAGTTATCTATAAAAAATGTAGAATAAATTTTTATTTGCACGACTTGCTATTGATTTTCATAGGTCTAACGGTAATTCTAAATTATTGATTTGTTAAAACCTACAAAATTGATTTAAGTGATATTTTTAATTCAAAAAATTGTATTAAAAATTAAAATTTATATGCTTAATTGACATGATAATTTATTTTTAAGTAATACTCCTCTATAATCTATATTATAAAGTAAAAAATTTCTTACTATATGTCATATAAAAATACTTATAACTGATTTCTCATAAAATGTCAAATTTATAACTTTTCATAGAAAAATGAATTAATATTACGAAAATAAATTTGTAGTGTGAAATTTCGTTACACTAATATGTATATGACATAAACTTTTTTAAATATATAGTTTGTACTCTATTTTTTCATAAGTAATTTTCAACTATTAATAAATTATCTCTTATAATTTTTATGTTGTTTCATAATGACAATTAACATATGACATATCTTTATATAAATCAAAATATTTCTCATCTCCTTACAATACATTACGTAATTTACTTTTATTTATATATATTATATTAGGTATAAAATATCATTCATTTTTTTAATTGAAAATATTTAAAATATGTAGAATTTATGTAAATTATATTAAAATATTTATTATTTTATGATCAGTTAATGTCATTTAACTAAAATGGGTTATATATAATAATGATTTTAACAATTTTACTAAGTTATTATAATTTCTATCACATAAATCTTTTTAATGCGTTTTATTCTCTTCGTTTAAGGATAGTACATTGTTTCAACATGTATGTAAACCTCCTTGAAGCTCTCTTTGTTGGTGAATGTTCTATTGATTTTATATTATATAAGATATGAAGTAAAGCATAGTCTATTTTCTCCTCATCTTTTGTTATTTCCTCCATTTCAATTTATATGACATCATTTGACTTGACACAAAATTTATGAAAGAGATAATTTTTTTAAAAAAAATTGTGGTCTAAAATATTATTTGACCATTTGTATGACCATAAATCATTTCATCAACAATAAAAGGAGTATTTTAAGATTAAATTATTTTCTATTGTGGAAAGGTGACATTTTTTTTTGCAACATATAAAAAAAAGGTGATACATATGTAATTTCAGGTAAAGATCAATCTGGTTCGAATGCAGGTCAGGTGCTTGATCGAAATTCGTTTGCAACATCGAAACATTAAAATTCTGGATAGCAAACATGCCAAACTGAAGTTGGGCAGCAACTAAATTGTAATGCTATTGAAAAATAAAGTGTTACAGCTACAGGGGTCGCTAGGGTAGGAAGTGAACTTGCAGATACATCAAATGATAAGATTGAGTTTCAAGAAAAGACAACCAATTCAAAGGCTTTTGGAAAGCTATTGACTCAAGATGTAGCCATTAAAACAGTTGTTACTTATGTGATAAGAAAACTTGGAGAGTGTAATATAATTGATAAAGCATGGGTAACGGTTGATGTTAGAGCTCTAATTGGTTCTCCAGGAACCTCTCTAATTAAGCCTCATGTTGATCCTAAGACGAATTAATATAATTAACTCTCATGCTCTTTCAATCTCTCAAGTTATTTCGATAAATAATTTGATTACTCTTAGCGGGCAAAAAGGTGTTATAAGTGAGAGTCGATGGGCCGATCGAGTGGAAGAAGAGGATGAACATGTCACAAATTATAGAAAATTGATCCCCGAATCATCAATTTTTGTGCCTAAGAGTAGTGGTTCATCTCCATTACATATAGGGCGACAATTGGTTTTAACATGTACTAATATTCAAAAGATTTATGTTTGTGACAAAGAGCTTCTTGATGCGTTGGTGAGTTCTCATGTTAAAAAGTTGACTACTCTTATGCCTATTAACAAAAACAAGTAACTACACGATGTTGGTAGTAGTTTTTTCTCCACAAATAGATTTGCTAACCTACAAGATGAGTACACCTTTGAGGAAAGTGAAGAAGAGGGCATTTTGCATTATTGTTTTGCAAATGCAGCTAGGGATGCAGATATTTCTCCTAGGCAACAACGCAATAACAAAAAGGAGCGTGGAAGAAAAAATAGTTGAAATGGTAAGATGACTGAGGAGTTTGTTCCAAGGTACCTATCGATGCAACAGGCAAAACAGAATCATATGACAGTAGCACAACTTAAACAAGATCCAACAAATCTAAGAAGAATTGATGAACTATCAAGTATTGTTAGACAAATTTGAAGAGGAAGACAAGAGGAAAATACTTCAAGTTAAATCTTTTTTAGTTCATACTTTTGTAAAACGAAGTTTGAGTTTAATTACTCAAATTTCATCATGGCTTTTATACTTTTTAACTACTTAAGAATCCTCATTTGTAATGTCATTCTAGAGTGTATTATAAACTCTGTGATAATCATAGAATACTTGGTTCTCTCTAACTCTTTTTTTCTTCATGTGGGTTAATTAATATAGGTTTCTTACCTCATTGGAATTAGTAAGGTAAGGTCTAGCCCCCCTTTCTTGTACTTATCTATGTTGAGGTTTTCTTTTTAGTTATACTAGTAAAATCACTCGCGCTTCGCACGGAAATTTAACATCACAAAATTTATAAAATAATACTTAAAACCTATGAGTCATTAAAACTAAAACACTATATTATCTTACATACAAAATTACGTAGTAACAAACATTAATAATGTAAAGTAAGATGATAACTATAATATCTTATCATTTATCCTTTCAATCAATCATCTTTAATTTGATTCTATAATTTATCTTTTTGCTTCCAGAAAGTGTTACTATTTCATATTTTGGGGATTCAAATGAACATCAACTGGAGATATTAAATTTTCTAACAAATAAATAATCGTTGGTGAAGGGATAAATAAATTTTAAAATGATGAAAAAAGTGAACAATGATTCTAATTCTAACGTGTAGAAAGTTCGGCCCTACCTTTGTTTTACATAGAGCAACTTTCACATATAGCAAACACAAAATTTATATTTGTATGCTATAGCAAACTTTGCATAATTGCGCTCCATAGCAAACATAAATATGTATATTTCGCTATACATATACAAAAGAAAGCAGTTGTATAATCTGTTTTGGTATACATATACAAAAAGATCAATTGTATAAAATGAGAGAGACGAGTGAACGAGCGAGATCTGGGAGAGTGGCGAGTGAGATCTGGGAGAGGGGAGAGAGGAGAACGAAAATATATGTATATATACAATTTTCACGCATTTTATACATTTGCGTTTTTGTATAAAGTGAGAGAGGGAAGTGAGAGAGCGAGATCTGGGAGAGTGGCGAGCGAGATCTAGGAGAGGGGAGAGAGAGGAACGAAAATATATGTATATATACAATTTTCTCTTGCTTTATACAAACACAAACACATTTTATACAATTTGCGGTTTTTGTATAAAGTGAGAGAGACGAGTGAGAGAGCGAGATTTGGGAGAGTGGCGAGCGAGATCTGGAAGAGGGGAGAGAGGGGAACGAAAATATATGTATATATACAATTTTCTCTCGCTTTATACAAACACAAACGCACTTTATACACTTGCGTTTGTATAAAAACGAGAGAGGAGAGGGAGAGAACGAGAGTGGCGAGCGAGATTCACCAGGAGAGAGGTTAAATAGCAATAGTTTGCTATGGGGTACAATTAAATCAAACTATATTTATAACATTTAATTTGAATTAATAGTTTTCTATTATATACAATTTTTCCTTTTACATATATCATTTTAAAGTTTCCCATTTAAATGTATCATAAGTAATTATTAAAATGAAAAATTAAAGGGAGAATGTATCATATTGGACAACAATTCAACTTATTATATATACTTGAAAGAGAAAAATATTACACAAAATTATTCAGTTTGTCTGGGTGTTTTATAAAAATCAACATACCAGAGTGATGAAGTTCAATTTGAAACTACACTTCTATTCCAATCACAGTGTTGAGAAACACATTTATTACTTTAAGAAAAGTATTTACAACTTGCAGTAAACTTGAGCATCTGTTCATACTTCATATTGAATATGAGCAATTAATTATTTTGTAGTTATCTATGTCTTTGGGATTAAAAGAGGCTCCAGTCTAGTCATATTCCTCAATAGGTCATCCGGCACATCCTTGAACTCATGTCAAAAGTTTATTAATTATTTTCTTCTTTTCCTGGTTTACTCCGCACATCAAGGTGCAATAAAAAAATTTAAGGTTTTTATGTCCTTACAATGGCATACCAAATTTGAATTTTATTTTCAAGAGATAGTAGTATAGATCTTTAAGGAATTTTTTTACTGTACCTTCAACAATTTTAGTAGAGAAAACTTGTGTGAATACTCAATTAACGTGTGTTATTTAATATGTACTAACAAATACTTATAACAATAATTTTGCAGAAACATAAACAACAAAGTTTAAAACATGTACTGAAAAACAACAATTAATAACATAAGCATAAATTAATGACTTTAAAAAACATATCAGGATCTATAACAATAGAATGAAACAGAAAGGAAAAAATGGTACACGAATATTTAATTGTGCAGAAGAAGAAGAAGAAGAAATTCAGAATTTTGTTGTTTTAAAATGAGAGGAAATCCCTCTATTTATAGCTAGACAGCAAAGGATAGAGTGAACAAATGTTTATTGTGCCTTATCGGAAAGGTCACAACTCTTTAGAAAAGTTACAACCCTTCGGAAAGATCATAACATTTCATAAAAGTCACAACTTTTCATAAAAGTCGCAACTCTTCATAAAAGTTACAATGTTTCATAAAAGTCGCAATTTTTCATAAAAGTCACAACTTTTCATAAAATTCGCAACTTTTCATGAAGTCACATTTTTTTTATGAAAGGGAAGGCTAGTTTTGGAAATAGATTAATTAATTAAAAGGAATCCTGATTTGGTGTGGCGCCACGTAGGCGGGCCTAGGGTTTTCTTTTTTATATAATTCTAAAAAAAAAAGTCTAAAATAGTATGCCAGAAAGAATAATATGGTCTCTTATTTTTTATCAAGAAGGTGATAAGGACCGTCCTACCTCTTCACTCTTCTACATAACAAAAGTTTGCTAATACAAATAACTCTTCCACATAATAAAAGCTTGCTAATACAAAGAATTTATAAATACATTATGAAAAAATATCAATGTTATTAGTTATTAGATTTGATGTATGTGTTATACATAATATTAAAATGAGTATGAGAGATATATTTTCAAATTTTAATTATGGAAACTTAAACAATTTATAAGTTTTATTTAATTTAATAGAAATAGAAAAAATATTACCCATAACTTTTCACATTCTAATACCACCCCTATATACATAATAACACAACGTTATTATTGACCCTTAAATGAAATATGTATGGTTGAATAAATTGTAAATTGTTTACAATGATATTAAGGTAAACAGGTGATTATATATATGATTTCACATATTGAATATATTTTTATGTTTAATTTTTAATTTACCGATGAAAAAAAAATGGTAACTCAAATAACTATTTTTGATTTATGTATACATTCAATTGAGAAGACAAATATGAGAATCGACAGCAAAGAACATCATATATTATTTACCTTATAAAATAAAAATTAATGTACAGAAAAATAGATCTAAAAAATAAAATATAGTTATTTTTAAGTTTTATAACATTTATATTATTAAGCGTGGAATACACGTGTTTGAAAACTAGTATATATATTATTTCTGTAATAAAGTTTTTAATAATATGTATTTGCCGTAAATTTCCTTTTTGTGTTGAATTAGGACATTTTAATTAGTCCGTTAATGGAATGTGCAGTTTAACTATAACTAGGAATCCTAACGCACACCGAATTGTTAAAAAGTAAGAATTTAACATAAACTTTCCGAATCCAAACTCAAATAAGACAACTCCTTTATAAATAGTAGTAAAGTAATAACATGCAAAGCTTACAACATCAATTGAAGCATGACTACAATAAGACTCTTTGGCAATGACATCAAAGTCATAAGGTTATTCGGAATACAGATTTCGCCATTGAAGAATAATAACATGCAGCTGCAGCGTGTCGATAGATTTATGAATATGCCAGATTCCCCTCCACCAAGTTTGCGTTTGGCTATTCAGTCTGTCCAAGGGAGTAGATCGCTTTACATGGGCTGGAAATACTTGGAGAACTCCGATATCAACATTAACTTGAGCCGCTTCCTTATTCCAGCTGAGTGGTGCGCGAAATTACTCAATCACATGACTGAGTCGGAGAGCCAAAAGATACAAAGTGAAGATGATAGAGGTATTAACGTGAGTGTAATGGATCCAAGGGGTGATTCACACGACATGAAGTTTACTGAATGGAAGAGCTTGAAGAGACTTGTGTTTAACAGAGGATGGAACAAACTTGTGGAAAATAACCAATTACAAAAAGGAAATTTACTTCACCTCTGGCACTTCAGAAAGCCTGATAATAGACCTTGTTTTGCTGTAAATATCATTAGGAGCTAGGATTTTCTTTTTATAATATTTTTATGTAATTGTTCTGTTCATACCCCCAAGTATGATCCAGTTACTATTTGTATCTTTCATCTTACTCAATTTTTTGAAGTTAAAACTATTCAAATCATAATACTCGAATTTTTTAATAGAAATCATATAACATTTGTACGTCTAACTCTTTGAAATTTGATATGAACTTCTACAACAACAAAACTGATGTATCGAATGAACATAACACAAATAATTTATCAAACACAATGTAACTTTAGCCCTCTTCTGCCACATAAATCCAATACACGTTGCAAAATTCAACATTGTTTTCTTTTTACCTTTGGTGAAGCTCATGACATGGAGGGTATATAGCTAAATAGCTGGTGTATAAACATTATTTGCAACTTAAAATTCAATTGGGCTGTGAAAGACAAAATTGGTTACTATTACAAAACAAAACCAAAAGAAGAAAAGAGATATTTGTTGTATCATGTATGCATGTTAGCCAGTCACTGTACGACAAATCCTGTACATCAGCTACACTAGTTCATGAACTTCCGGCAATTGGGAGCTCCACATAGGCAGGGCACTTTAAGATCATCATGCTCATCCGGGTCAAACAAATAATCATACCTGTTAAACAAGATACACTAATTAACAGATTGAAAAAGCCAATCAGAAACTGAATGAACAAATACATGATTCACAGAAGAGGAAACAGGAAGCTGTCGTACGTCAACTCATCACCAGCTGAGACATTGCGTTTAGCTATAAGAACTATCCGGCTCTCCTCTTCACCCAGACTCAAGATCCTCGCATAGCAACTGGGCATGCACTACACAAAATAGCAAAAAAAAAAAAAGCTTAACCACATAAAATAAACAAGTACATAATCCGAATTAGAATAAACTGTCAGCAAAAGAAGCACTTATATGGTAGAAAAATAAGAAACCAAAAGGCCCAGACAGCATAATAAACTCAAACAGAAGTTTCACAATGAACAAAATCGCCTACCGAATGATTGATTAAGCGTGCAATATTCCCTTTATTTGTCGCATCAATTACCACTTCTTCGCTTACCTTAAACAGCTGCATTGAGAGAACATGTGTTAGCATCAATTGCTGAGAGTGAGACAGCTAACCTTAAGAAGCAACAGATCTTAGCTAAGAGATCATTAATGTTATGGGCTTGACAATTTCTGAATCATCCTTACCCTTGTCCTTCGACTGGAGTACAGATGATAGGATACCAGGGGCAATACGAGATCTTTAGCAAATTTAAAAGTTAAACTAATGATTCCATACAGGGGAAAAAAGGAATATTTCTGGACCACTGTGTAGTGAATGATTCAAAGCTATGTATAGTTTCCTGAGACGGAAGTTTCACGACTTAAAAAAATACCCTCAAAAATCTAACCTATTTTAAAAATAGTGTAGTAGATTAATCAGATTTGTATTCACATGTTCAAGACAAGACAACACATGGTCTAGGCACATGTACACATGACATAACCCCTCACATAAAGTAATGAAATAGACTCACATAACAATCTTTTCCCTCCAGTCGATATCGTGTCTCTCTTAGATCAGCAACACTACGCCGCACCTTCTCCCCACGATACTCAAGGACCTAGAGAAGCAGCCAACAACAGTGGATCACTTCAAAATCCAAATTAAAACCTGCATAACAGTAACTAAATTCTTCTAATGTTCCACTCATGAAAAGTACCATTTCTCCTTCTTGAATGTTTCGTCGTGCAAAGAGGCCCCATCCATGTATTCCAGATTTACCAAAACAAACTCTCCGATTTTCCATCATCTGATTAAAAGAAACAAAGAGTAAGTTTGGTTTCAAATGTATTTGCAGTTACTGAAGCATGTCTTCCAGATACTATTCTCTGAACTTACATTCCTTTACTCTGATAAATACCTTGCCACAATTATAGTTACTTAAGTATGGCAGTAAGAACTGGTAGTGTGAAATTTAGTTGTGGAATTAAAGAGTGGAGGGGTGAACCTGCTTCGTCAACAGGTATTATGCAACTCAGAATACAAGGTGGTAGTTTGAGTAGTTGCACATTAACAGGGATAATATTCCATATAATAAGCAACCAGTCCTCATGCAGCACAAAGAGAAGATTATTTACCTGTAGATGAATCAGTCGCTCTTTGAGTGTTGAAAAGGCCTTCACATCTCTAGTCAACTGCAAAAATAAGAATAAGAGAAGGAAAAAACCAATCAATTAGATGGTGTTACAACACAAACACAAGATGGAATCGAGAACACAAAAAGAAACACATTACATACTTCTTGTGCGCTTAAACAATCTATTGCTTCTAAAGAATGACGCCTTGGCCCCATCAGTCGGTGGAAAACTGCCTCTTGCCCAGCCCTCTAGACAAAACAGAAGCAAATTAGAGGCAAGAGAAAAAAATAAATCAAGGAATCTTTCTCATAAAAATATAACAAGAAATTAGATCCAAAGAATACAAAAAGGGTGGAGAATGACAAAATTGAATGATCACTTTCCTGCAATTAATGTACTCTTCTTGCTAGCATCTAGAAGTCATACTCTTGCTCTCACCCGTTTCATTGGTTATGATAAGGTTTCCTCCAGTTTTATACTTTTCTAATTTAACATGAATTACTTGTTACAGGCTATCTTTATGAAACTTTTTTTAAAGACAAACCAAGTAGTATATACATATATATCTATCTATAGCAAAAAAAGGATTGGTTGTCTTCATTGAAGATAGAGTCAAAGGTTTCAAAGCATAATCCATGTTTCATGGAATGGTGTGCAAGTATTGGGTACTATATTTTCCAATGAAATATATTCAACCCAGGCTTTGGGGGTTCGAAGAAAAATTAAGCTAATGATACAGCATCCTGGCTGTGTGTCATCAACTAACAAGTTTCATCCGAAAAACATGCACAAATTTACACAGTAGCATATGAGAGAAGATTTTTGCGTGACAAACAAGGATTTTCTAGTGTTCGGAGAAAATAGTCTTGACATTTTGACTGGTGTGGCCCTATTGAAGAATTAAAAAAACAAGACAGCAGTTTTAACACAGAGGACCATGATCTTGCTCTGTTCTTTTCCAATTTGAGCTCTTCATCATTCATAGTGGAACTTTTCTCAACTTGGCAATCTTTCCTCGCCTCAATAAACTCTCTTTATTATCAAAGTGTACAGTTTGATAGCTTTACATGTCAGAATTCTGGCACAGGGCTCTATTCAACCATTAATAAAACAAGACAGCACTTTTAGCACAGGACCACTTGTTGGAAAACTATCACAAGTCCAAAGTTACGTTTTATTTTTGGTATCTCTTGGCATTTAACAGGGCCTTGTTAAGGAAGTGGCTTCGCAGATTACAGAGGAGCATGCACCGCAGATGGAAGTGATAGCAGAAAAATATGGGGTTATGGAAGGGTGGATAACTAGAAACATTACTCTTTTTGGGAGCGACCTTGGGAGAAATTTCTTGAAGGGATGGGAGGAACTTAGTGGTAACATAACTTTCAGAGTACGTAGGGGATAGGGACTAAGGTAAGTTTTTGAAGACAGAGGTAGTGTGGCATAACATCTTGAGAGTCGTATAACCAAACATTTATAGTATTCCATGCCAAAGGGGGATGACAATCCAACAAATCTGGAAGACACGAGGAAATGTTCTTTGGGATCTCCAATTCAGGAGAGATATTCAGGATTGGGAGATAGCGGAATTTCAAAACATGCTTGAGATGCTCTACAAACAAATTCTACCCTCAGAATTTGTCAGGAATGATGATCGATTGGTCGTTTCTCAGTAAAGTCCCAATAAAATCCCATTACCCCAAGATGCTTACAAGAGATTTGACGGTTTCGTCACATGTTGCAGTCTGTATTCCCATAACACCAAGAAACCTGTGTCTTTGTATGGCTGACGACTAGAGGAGCGATTTTGGCAGCCGAATATATGAGGAAAAGGAAGATCACCTATGTCAGTTAAAGTTTTACATGCAAAAACTCGGGAGAGGGTGTGGATCACCTTCTACTGCATTGTCAGGAAGATTCATGGTTGGAGATTCTGAGATGACTTGTACTATATTGGACTATGTCAGGGACGATACGTATGATTTGTTAAACTGAAATTTTAGAAGATAGAAGAGAATGTGCATGGCATGGACATTGCTCCATAGCTCCTCATAAGTATAGCGTGGAGAGAGAATAGTAGAGCTTCTGAAGGAACTGAACTTCATTTATACATTTGGAGAATAGCCTTTTATATATCCCTCATGTCTTTTTGGCACACCCATGAGATTCCTATTTGTGTTGAGGAATGGGTATCTTTTGTAGGTACAATTTATTTTGTAGGTTCCTCTTTTTTTGTTATACTACTTGTTTACAGAAGTTTGTCCTTTTTATTAGTGAAATTAATCCTTGATCCAAAAAAAATGTCCTACCCTAACAGACGAAAAGGATTATTATAAAGCAATATTTGTTGAAATAACAAGAATTAAGGTGCAAAAGGCAAATAAGTAATTTCATACCACATTTAAAAATATAGAAGAGCATAGTACCTTGTAGCTAGATCTCTGAAAGATGCGACACCTTGCAGCAGAGAGAGGTTCAAAGCTACTGCTCCCAGCATCAGATGGATCAGGGAGTTCAAGAGTCTTAGATGAGATGAGTCGTTTGCCTCCCGAACAATGTTCTTGACTTTGTCTTTCAACCAAACTTTTCGTAGAGAACACTCCAAATGGAGTCCGCATGACCAAGACATTGTCTGTGTCTGGAGTCCTGAAATTCAAGCATATCACATATCTAGGTGAACATCAAACCATGGGGAAATTGAACAATGTAGAAACTGCTTCCCAACAAAATTAATTGGAAAGCTTATATGGAATCAACCTTAGGTATAATGTCAAAGAGGAAGAGATTTAAAAGAAAGAGAGAATTATATGTCATAGATTCTAATCTAAAGAGGATAAGAAACAAAGCAAGAAAATAGATAAAGAATAAGAGGAC